GAAATCTCCGTTCAGCTGCGCTCAGTGCGGGAAGAGTTTCACGCTCAAGGTCAACCTCAACAGCCACATCAGAATCCACAGCGGAGAGAGAAACTTCAGCTGTCTGCAGTGCGGCAGCAGCTTCTTCAAGAACGCAGACCTGAAGAGACACCTGCAGACTCACAGCGGAGAGAAGCCCTTCAGCTGCTCGCACTGCTCCAAGAGCTTCACACGCAAGCAGAGTCTGGAGAACCACATCCGGATCCACACGGGAGAGAAGCCCTTCACCTGCCTCCTGTGTGACAAGAGCTTCATCCGCAAGGGACACTTCAAGAACCACATGCGGATTCACTCCGGAGAGAGGCCTTTCACGTGCCACGAGTGCGGGAAGAGCTTCACACAGGCTACGATCCTCAGAAACCGCCAGCACTCGCACTCTGGAGAACGACCCTTCAGCTGCGATCGGTGCGGAAAGAGCTTCATCTCAGCAAAGCACCTGAAGATACACCAGAAAATCCACCAGAAGCTCTTCCTGTGCTCCTTCTGTGGAAAGATGTTTTCACAGCTGGGTTACCTGAAGGAGCACCAGAAGATCCACACCGGAGAGAAAGCTCACGTTTGCTCGGTGTGCGGGAACAGCTTCTCCAGAGCCAAATATCTGAAGGAACACCACAAAGTCCATTCGGGAGAGAAACCCTACAAGTGCTCGCACTGCGACAAGAGTTTCAGTCAGTCGGGGAACCTGAAGATACACGAGAGAGTTCACAGCGGAGAGAAACCACACCGCTGCCCGCCGTGTGGACGGAGCTTCATCACCTCCAGCGCTCTGCTGTCGCACCGGAGAAACTGTCTCCAGAAGTTACCAAATGAGCAGAAGTCAACAGAGAAACTCAGATGTTATCTTGCAAAGTCATTTTCTTGAACATCTACATGCTGGAGAGTAGCAGCTCTTTCTACACGACGTTAGCTGTGTGCAGTAGTATTCATCAGACAATGCTGTGTATTATTTCTCCATGCATATCCTTAAATTCATTGTATCAGTCACAGTTTGTGAGAGGTGGTGAACTGAAAAGACGTGCAGTGAGAACATGAGATCAGAAGAGTGTTGGAAACCTATCAACTACAGCATTGATGAAAATGTGAAATAAGGACCTTTGCAATACACAAACTGTGTACTTTGCATTGTTTGGCCACATGTTCATTCATTGCTGAATAAAGTACATTAATATTATTTATTTATTACTTTAACTAAGACCACTGTATTGTGCTTGGATTGTACATTATGAAATGTCAATAAATGAGAGCAAAACGTTGTACAGAGCTGCTCATTTAATGAGCTCAGAGGACAGATGTGCTTGAGTTCAGTATTGTTTCAACATTGTGTCTCAATAATAAAGTAATAAAGCTTTTTTTCTTCACAAAAGTCCTCCAGATCTTTACTTTATGCTTGCAGCAAGAGTGGTAAGGAACGTATTATAGGCCTAAACTCGTAACTCAATAGCAGTGTTGGGGGTAATATATTACAAGTAACACGAGTTACGTAATCAGATTACTTTTTTCAAGTAACTAGTAAAGTAACGCATTTTTAATTTACAAGAGAATATCTGAGTTACTTTTTCAAATAAGTAACGCAAGTTACTTTGTTTCCAATTTATTGATTGACAGCTCTCCTGTCCCCATGTTGAGAGAAATCAGAAGATGTTACTGTAGTTCTAAAATAAATATGAATATGCATTAATTCATCTCACTCACAAAAAAAAAACACAGATTCAGTATTCCTCAAAATGAATAAAAGTAATGCAACTCAGAATATGACGCAAACCTGCAATAATTAAATGTTAAACAACACAAATATAATTTATGTATTTAATCCCATTCTATTAACCAATGTCTTTGCTTCTGACCTTTGATGATCCAGTTCAACCGTACTAATTAGCACAAATTACTCTAGACGAACATTTCTGTGTCTTTTTTTATTGCTGAAGTGTGTTGAAATGGCTTCTTCTGCATTCTACTGTACGGACGTAAATTGACTTTCCCTTCAGCCTGAGGCTTATTCATTTCACTTTTGGTGTTATTTGCCAAAAATAGAACTTTTTTATTTTAAAAACAAACAAGCAAGCCCTGTTCAGATTTAAAAAGTAACACAAAAGTAACGTAACGCATTACTTTCCATAAAAAGTAACGAAGTAACATAATTAGTTACTTTTTTTATGGAGTAATGCAATATTGTAATGCATTACTTTTAAAAGTAACTTTCCCCAACACTGCTCAGTTGTGACTGGCTGGACTAAACAGCCAGACATGAATGCAGAATACATATATTAATTTATTCAAAGTCATAAAAAAGACAATTTCATAAAAGTAGACATTTCATTATCTGGGTTCCACATTCATTGTCCAGGACCAGGAGAGTAATTTTCCCATAGTTTAGTCTGATCTCTAATTAAACACACCTGAATCAACTCATCAAGGTCTTTGCGTTTACTTTAATAACAGCCAGATGTGTTGAAGCTAAACTCAGCAGAAGCAGGCATGAGGAACCTGCTTTACTCCTTGTCCCAATACCCGCACTTACAGTCTTTGCACTTGACCACTTGACTACTTATATGACGTATTTACTGTATTTGGCCCAAGTGTTCAAGTGAGCATGAAGACCACAAGTGTGCGTGGAACTTTTTACAATTAAGTTATAAAAAGCAGATGCAAATGTTGACTCACAGACACGCCTGTTTAACGCACGTCACTCAAACACAGAAGCAGGAAACACGTGAGAAACTGAAGTGTAGTCGAGCTGTTGTGTGTGTATTTCTGCAGTAAAGGGCAGAACGGAGAACTGGAGACGAGCTGATGATCGGAGGTGAGAAAGTCCTCACGGATTTGTTTTTAATGCTTTATTTTAACCAAGTGTAAATTACTGTTTCAGTTACACTTAAATGCACTTACATTTTCCAGAAATGAAAATTTGTCATTAATTTACTCACCCTCAAGCCATCCAAGATGTAGGTGACTTTTTTCCCTCGGCTGCACATTTTTGAGAATAATAAAAAGCATTCCTTTGAACCGGTTCTTTTTGGTTAACTAGATGAAGCAGTTCAGACTGAAGCAGTCCGTGGCTCGAGCAGCACAGATCTACAACTCGCTCTCAGACGCCTGACAGTCTCTCCGACTAGAAATGAGCCGAAACACCGGCGTACCTGATCCTGTGATGAATGAACGGATTCAGAACCAGTTCCTCCAGCAGTCACTGAACCGAAGAAACAGCTCGACTCGGACTGAAGCCGCTGATGTGAGCTCGTGTGAACCCAGAGCTTGCACGGAGGAGAGAAATTCACGTTTTGCGCTGATGAAGACTAGTTTACTCACTTTATGTGCTTTCGACAAGTAAAACATCCACGTTTCACAGCATTATTGTGTGCTTTAATAATATAATTGCGTATACATTACGTCATTGTGTGATTATATAAAATAATTAGAGAATTGAACCAGTTCACCGAAACAAACTGTCCGAAAGAATCAGTTGGCAGAAAAGAATCAGATTTCCCTGGGGCTCTGCATTACAGTAATCATGTTGTAAATAATGTTCAGTTTCTTCCACAGACTGATCGTTTCGCTTCATAAGGCCTCAATATATCGCCAGGAGCCACGGGGATTAATTTCGTGTTGCCTGATGTGCTTTTCTGACTCGGAGTGACGGTAGCCATTGACTTGCACTGTAAGAATCACGGTTTCAGCTAAAAAAGAAGTCCGCTACGTCTTAGTTGGCTTGAGGATGAGTAAACTAACAGCAAATGTTCATTTTGGCGGGAATTATCCCTGTAATGTGGACATTTTCCAGGTTTAGCAAATATTACTTACATTTTCAAAAAACAAACTAAAACAATTCTAAATTGTGTTTTTAAGTTGTCAGTAATTAATGATTTATTAAAACTAAGTCAAGTTAGTATTTTAAGCATGTTTACATTCCAAAATAACTATAAGAACAAAGTGACAAATTTCAATATGTGTATTTTATTTGTGAACTGATGTTGTTTTTAAAACACACACACAAATAAATCATGTTAAACTGATCTTTAAAACAGACGTGGTTTCTCTTGTGAGTAGCTGTGGTCAACCACTTTTACCTGAAGTGTTTTAACAGATTTTATTTGGGTGATAATTAGGTGTAAAAGGCTGAACCCTTAAAGTACTTTGAGTATTTGTGTGTTCAGTAAAAGCATCTTAGTAGATGAATGAAAAGCAGTTTTTGGTCTTCAGCTCAAGGATCTCCGTGTTTAATCTGCTCTTCAGAAAGCGTCTGCATGTCAAACTGCTTCGGTCTCCATCAGCGCCACACACTCCTTCTGATGATCATAAAGGCGCAGAAACACGCCGTACTTCCTCCTGTAGAAGCTTTACACACACCAACATTCATTCGTACGGTTACAGACACTGATGCACAAGAATCCTGAGATATGAGTGTCTTGGTACTGACAGAATAAAAGAATGAAAGCATGAACACATCACTGAACCTCACCTCTCGAGCTCAGGGTTTGGTCTGACAACACGCCCGATTCTGGTCATTCTCCTCATTGCGTCCTAGAAAGACACCAGGACGCGCCTTTGTCAAGTCACATTTATTTCTATAGTGCTTTATATAATGCAGCGCCAGGAGCCACGGGGATTAATTTCGTGTTGCCTGATGTGCTTTTCTGACTCGGAGTGACGGTAGCCATTGACTTGCACTGTAAGAATCACGGTTTCAGCTAAAAAAGAAGTCCGCTACGTCTTAGTTGGCTTGAGGATGAGTAAACTAACAGCAAATGTTCATTTTGGCGGGAATTATCCCTGTAATGTGGACATTTTCCAGGTTTAGCAAATATTACTTACATTTTCAAAAAACAAACTAAAACAATTCTAAATTGTGTTTTTAAGTTGTCAGTAATTAATGATTTATTAAAACTAAGTCAAGTTAGTATTTTAAGCATGTTTACATTCCAAAATAACTATAAGAACAAAGTGACAAATTTCAATATGTGTATTTTATTTGTGAACTGATGTTGTTTTTAAAACACACACACAAATAAATCATGTTAAACTGATCTTTAAAACAGACGTGGTTTCTCTTGTGAGTAGCTGTGGTCAACCACTTTTACCTGAAGTGTTTTAACAGATTTTATTTGGGTGATAATTAGGTGTAAAAGGCTGAACCCTTAAAGTACTTTGAGTATTTGTGTGTTCAGTAAAAGCATCTTAGTAGATGAATGAAAAGCAGTTTTTGGTCTTCAGCTCAAGGATCTCCGTGTTTAATCTGCTCTTCAGAAAGCGTCTGCATGTCAAACTGCTTCGGTCTCCATCAGCGCCACACACTCCTTCTGATGATCATAAAGGCGCAGAAACACGCCGTACTTCCTCCTGTAGAAGCTTTACACACACCAACATTCATTCGTACGGTTACAGACACTGATGCACAAGAATCCTGAGATATGAGTGTCTTGGTACTGACAGAATAAAAGAATGAAAGCATGAACACATCACTGAACCTCACCTCTCGAGCTCAGGGTTTGGTCTGACAACACGCCCGATTCTGGTCATTCTCCTCATTGCGTCCTAGAAAGACACAAGCCTTTGTCAAGTCACATTTATTTCTATAGTGCTTTATATAATGCAGCGTCACAGAAATAAACAGGAAAATAACTCATGAATGTTAGCTCTGCAGAAGACAATAGTGTCATTATTCAGATGAATTCAGCTCAGTTCAGTTCTCATCTGACAGTGTGGGAGTCAGGGAAGGTTCTAGAGCTTTTTTAGGGGACTTCAGTCCTTCTGTCTGTCTGCAAGTACAGGATTGAGTTCTCTTTTGTGTCTTCATTTAAATACATTCATGCAAATACACACACACTGATGTCAAAAAGCCCGTCTTGAGTATTCACGTAAACACAGTCAGCTATGTCTTAAGTGAATGTAAACAGTTAAGAAAATATCGGATGCGTGTCAATATAATGGATTAGGTCTTAAAATGACAGCAGCCTCATACCTTCTGTTCGCTGTTAATCATATTAAACTAACGGCAAAAGAAGAATCACTCACTGCTCGGAACTAGACTTCTGTAGCTTTCAGAGCTATCTGTGTATATTTACTTCACATAGTAATACAGTTTCACAAGCAGTACTGTTTCTTTAACCTGTATCTTTGTTCTATTGCATTTATTTGTGCTATTGCTTGTCATTTTTTAGCAGTTCTTATTTTATATCATTGACTTCACATGTCTTGAGTTTAATGTTTGATCTTTATTTTAGTCATGCCAGTATTAGTTTGTGTTGTGATCCTAAATTGGAAATGAGAATTGAAAAATGTCACTGGTTTCTAAAATGTTGTTATCGTAAGGTTACACAGGTCAAAAACAATTAAATAACTTATGTATGATCTACTGGCCTGACCACCAATCCTCAGTGTTGAGCCAATGCTTTTATTTTTTTCTAATTAACAGTAACACTTGATAATAATAACTGAAGGACTGGATTCCTGGATCCACGGCCGCTTTCATATATATCCTTTTGAGTGGTTATTAATCCCAGTATTAATCAGTATTTAACCTAGATTTTAGTTGACCGAATAAAGTTATGAGTATAGGATCGCTTAGTAGTTAGACATTCAGAAGTATTTTGTAACTGGAATCTGCTCTCTCCTTGTTTTCCAGAGAACTCTCTCCATATGCTAAGCATATATTCACTCCTCCCTACATCACTAAAGCTCATCAGGGGCTCTGCTACGGGACAAAAGTACAGTTAGAACATTCGCTTTCTTCTCTAACCCTGTACATTAAAGAATAAAGTTGAATATTGTCTGGAATTATCTCCCTTTCTCTCGGAGAAACTGCGTGATCTGGAAGCACCTGATAAGAGTACGAGCCTGAGCCACTCAACCTTGACAAAGTTGTGTATTCTGTGTGTGTGTGTGTGTGTGTGAGAGAGTGATATTGTCTGGAATTATCTCCCTTTCTCTCGGAGAAACTGCGTGATCTGGAAGCACCTGATAAGAGTACGAGCCTGAGCCACTCAACCTTGACAAAGTTGTGTATTCTGTGTGTGTGTGTGTGTGTGTGAGAGAGTGTGTTTGTGTGTGTGAGAGTGTGTTTGTGTGAGTGTGTGTTTGTGAGTGAGAGTGTGTTTGTGTGAGTGTGTGTGTTTGTGAGTGAGAGTGTGTTTGTGTGAGTGTGTGTGTGAGAGAGTGTGTTTGTGTGAGTGTGTATTTGTGTTTATGTGTGTGTGTGAGAGAGAGAGTGTTTGTGTGTGACTGTGTGTGTGAGAGAGTGTTTTCTGTTAATCCAATAGTAATGTGTACCGATCTGAACTGTACTGCAGAAAGATTTAAAACATTTCTGTGTTTACTTGGTACTAGTTTAAGTGGTAGGCTACTATTGACTTACTATATAGTGAGATAGTGGTGCTGATTTACAAAGAGGCATCACACAGGTAACGGTCTCACATCAAATCTTGCTCTTCACATGAAATCCTAGAATGATGTGTTAGTGAGGGCTGTCTATACCTGTATGGAGCTGCAGTCAGATGAAGCACAGGCTCCGATCCGCGCACACTCTCTCACACACACGCACACACACACACACACACACACACACACACACACACACACAATACATGCTTCATAATGAGCACAGAACCTAGAGATCAAGCATCTGTGTGTGTCTGAAACTTCTGTTCATCTGACTATGTTTGAATCGGGTGATTTTGGTGACCCACAACACCCTAGCAACCACCCAGAACAACATAGCAACTGCCTAACAAAACACATAGCAACGCCCTAGCAATCATTCTGAACATCATAGAGACTGCCTAGTGCTGAGTTCTGCCACGGCAGGCACCACTGACATTTTCTTCAGAAAAATGTATGTCTAGTTATCAATATTATATTAAATTAACAATTATTGTAATGCAGCAGTTTTTATTACATTTAAGTCAGCAAAAAAATACTACCATGATATATACCCCGGGTTCTTCACTGAAGACGTGTCCAAGTAGCACCAGAAGGTGTATGTTATAATGATCACTTCTGGCTCTGCCAATGACCTCCAGGAAAGACTGGATGACGTCCATGAAAAGAATGGTGACGGCTGGAGAGACAGAAGACAGCACGGAAAGACAGCATCTGGGGGCAGCAAGGGCTAGCAACCCAAACTACAGCTAGTGTGAGGGAGCACCCAAATAAGCTACGAAGAACCCTTCAGAACTATACCCCCAGGGATGCCCGAGAGGGCGGGAGGATGAGCATCGCAATAGGGCGGACCAATTGGTAACGAACCAAGCAAATGGAAAATCGATTACGGGTGCAGTCTGTATGTGGAAAGGGGTGTAGAAATCATAGAGGTCTGAAGATCCACCAGACAAAAATGGCCTGTTTGAGGAGGGAACAAGTGAAGCAACGCACAGGAGCAGGAGCCAGCACTACAAGTTTTGTGGTGCTGACTACAGAACTTGGTCAGACGTAGGAGGGGCCCGGCCCGGAGTCACCCCACAGTGCCCAGAACCTCCATGCAACACAAGCCCCCCCCACAAAGCAAGACGTCAGAACAGCATATAATGAAGTGGCCTGCCGCTAATAAGAAGAAGTGGCTCCAGTTGGATGAGGATGTAGATAAGATACTGGAATCGAAGGGGAATGCAGACCAGAAACTCCAGACTATGTGCACCCTCATAATGAGCATAGGCTCAGAACGGTTTGGCACCTCGGAGAAGCAGGGAACAAGTGATCCAGCAAGACCAAACCGGCGGGAACACAAGATCAACCAGCTGAGACAAGAACTCAGATCCCTGACGCGCCAATTCAAGTTGGCTGAGGAGAAGGAGAAAGCTGCCTTGTCAGACCTAACAGACATCATAAGGAGGAGGCTCATTACACTGAGGCGGGCTGAGTGGCATCGTAGGAAGGGCAAGGAGAGGGCCCGAAAGTGCAGTGCTTTTATTGCCAAACCCTTTGGCTTTGCCAAGAGACTACTGGGACAGAAGCAGAGTGGCCAACTCATTGAGGGAGCAAGACCTTGGCCTATGTGAGGAACTGGTAACACCTCCAGAACCAGAGACCCAATTTAACATCTCTGAGCCTACCCTGAAGGAAGTCAAAGAAGCAGTCAAAACTGCAAGAGCTAGCTCGGTCCCAGGTCCCAGTGGAGTACCTTATAAGGTCTATAAGCAGTGCCCTAGGCTCCTAGTGTGTCTCTGGAGGATCTTGAAGGTGATCTGGCGAAGAGGAAAGGTTGCTGCGCAGTGGAGACATGCAGAGGGTATATGGATACCGAAAGAAGAGGATTCAAGTAACAGAGCAGTTTCGTATCATTTCGTTGCTCAGCGTCGAAGGGAAGATCTTTAAGATTGTGGTCCAACGTCTAACTGAGTTCCTCCTAAAGAATGCATATAGATACCTCAGTACAGAAGGGGGGAGTCCCAGGGGTGCCTGGAGCATACATAAATAGTGACCCAGTTGATCCGGGAGGCAAGAGAAAGCAGAGGAGACCTTGCAGCACTCTGGCTAGATCTATCAAATGCCTATGGTTCCATCCCACACAAGCTCGTCGAGACAGCAATGACAAGACACCATGTTCCAGAGATGATTAGTAACATAATTCTGGACTATTATAGTGACTTTAGGTTGAGAGTCTCCTCAGGGTCACTAATATCTTCATGGCACTGGCTGGAGAAGGGTATAATCACTGGCTGCACAATCTCAGTGCCACTCTTTGCATTAGCCAGGAACATGATCGTCAAGCTAGCAGAGGTGGAATGTAGAGGCCCAATGTCTAGATCTGGTACTTGGCAGCCCGCCATAAGAGCATTCATGGATGACCTAACGGTGACAGCAACATCTGTTTCTGGGTGCAGATGGCTTCTTCAAGGACTGGAATAGCTCATCTCATGGGCAAGGATGAGTTTTAAACCAGACAAGTCCAGGTCTCTAGTGCTGAAAAAGGGAAAAGTGGCTGACCAGTTCCGCTTTACCCTGGGAGGGACTCAGATTCCAACAGTGACAGAAAAACCAGTCAAGAGCCTGGGCAAGATCTTTGACAGTTTCCTGAAGGACACAGCCACAATGCAACAAACCTGGAGCGATTTTACTGCCTGGCTCACCGTGTTAGATAAATCGGGGCTTCCAGGAAAGTTCAAAGCCTGGGTATATCAACATGCAGTTCTGCCAAGGCTGCTCTGGCCTCTTCTAGTGTACAAGGTGCCAATGACAACAGTGGAAGCCGTAGAGAAAACTATCAGTCAGTTCCTCCGGAGGTGGTTGGGGCTCCCTCACTCTCTAAGCAGTATTGCCCTGTATGGGCATTCCACCAAGCTGCAGCTTCCTATAAGTGGCCTAGTGGAGGAGTTCAAAGTTACTTAAGCCAGGGAGGTTATGATGTACCGAGACTCCTCCGACATTAAAGTCGCGACTACAGGAATCCTCATGAAGACATGGCAGGCTCAGGTTGCTGTAGATAGAGCAGAGGCACGGCTGTGGCATAACATCTTGGTGGGCACTGTGGCAGTGAGGCGGGCAGGACTGGGCAGTTTTCCCCAACCAGTTTATGACAAAAGCCATGGGAAGGAGAAACGTCAACTGGTACAGGATGAGATACGAGCAGAGGTGGAGGAAGAACACTACAGTAAGATGGTCGGGCACGTACAAGCAAGGAGCCTGGACCAGATGGGAGCATGTAGAGCCTCGCAAGATCACCTGGATGGAGCTCTGGAGAGCTGAACCATTGCGCATTAAGTTTCTCATTCAATCGGTTTATGATGTTCTCCCCAGCCCATCCAACCTGTATAGCCGGGGAATGGCAAATACTCCAGACTGCCAACTTTGCCAGAAGACGGGCACATCCTCAGTTGTTGTTCGAAGGCACTGGGGGTAGGGCGATATCGATGGCGCCATGACCAAGTCTTAAGGTCTCTGGCGGAGACAATCAGCACAGCGATTCAAGATGGTAAGAGTCAGCACGCCCCCAAACAGTACATCACCTTCTTCAGAGCTGGGCAGAAGGCACAGGGTCGGCCTAGCTCCACGGAAGGGATTCTTGCCACCACACTGGACTGGCAGCTCCAGGTAGATCTAGGAAGGCAGCTTAAGTTCCCAAAAAACGTCGCAAACACTTTGTTCCGCCCAGACATTGTGTTAACATCAGAGTCTACAAAGCAAGTGGTTTTACTGGAACTTACTGTCCCTTGGAAGCGCAGAACGGCCATCAAGAATATCTTGGAGGCTGGATGTATGAAGTCAGTTCTCACAGATCACACCGGTGTAGAGAATCACATTAACTACCCACATCATCCACTAACTAACCCCAAACACACACAGTGCTGCCTGTCTTCATGTTAGTGATGTGATGAGGTTCAGTGCTCAGACTCTGTGTGTGATGACGTGAGGATGTCGTCTGCGCAGGTCAGTGATGCAGACATGAGTGCAGTCACCTGTAGTGTTGGCATGTGTCTGCACAAACAGGGCATTCTTGCTCAGTCCTCCACACAGGAAGAGGGTTGTGATGTCATGTCCTGCCGCTCTCATGGCGTCTATGATGTGTCTGGTGCCGAGCTTCACACAACAGAGACATACTCACATTAACACTGGAAGATGTGATCATTTACTTAAAGGAGCATCCGTGTGAGTTTGGGTGTGTGTGAGTGAGTGTGTGTGTGTGTGTGTGTGTGTGTGTATGTATGTGTGTGTAAGTGAGTGTGTGTGTGAGTGTATGTGTGTGTGTGAGTGTGTGAGAGTGTGTGTGAGAGTGTGTGTGTGTGCGCGAGTGAGAGTGTGTGTGAGTGAGTGTGTGAGAGTGTGTGTGTGTGTGAGTGAGAGTGTGTGAGTGAGAGTGTGTGTGAGTGTGTGTGAGTGTGTGTGTGAGAGAGTGTGTGTGAGTG